GTTAAAAAAATGACTTTAATTTAGTTATAATAAAATTAAACACAAAAAATGGCTGATGCAGAGGATTTTGCCGGATTGGATTTAGAGACATACAGTCCATTTGCAATTAGAAATAATTTGGGTGTTGTTGATTATTGTCGTGCATTCTTGGCTGTTGTATCAGGATCTGCAGCAGGAATCCTTGGTTTGACTGGTTTAAATGGATTTGTTTTTTACATTCTTGTATCGTTCCTAATGTCAGTTTTGCTTGGTTTAAAAACACAATCAAAAAGTGAACGATATTTTGTTAGTAAATGGCATTTGCTTACAAATGGTGTATTTGGGGAACTATTTACTTATTTACTTGTCTGGACATTTATGTATGGCATGATACATGTGTTTTAAAAATGTATATTTAAATTATTAATTTTTTTTTTTTCATTTTACATTTAAATAAGAGGTTTTATTAAATTAAATTTCTTTATAAATGCAAAAAAAAAAGCATTTGGTACATTTGGTACTCTTTGAGAACAAAAAGATATTGGTAGTTATCAAAGAATGCTGTAAGAAGCCATTTCAAGTTTTTGACTTTTTTTGTTGGTTTTAACTTTTTGCTTTTTTACGGTGGTTGACTTACATTGACTTAATCATTTATTAATATTAGTAAAGTATTAGCTGTTAGAACTACAGATTAAATTAAAGACTTAAATGTGTAATACTAGAGACTACTAAAACACTGGGAGATAAGACTTTGAATCAATGTGAAATTGATTTATTGATATGATTTTTAATATTACTTACGATAAAATGCTAAAGTATCTAATTTATATGATTGTTTGGATTTTTTGATGTTGCTTTAGTATCTTTATACACATTAAGTACATGTTTATGTACAACCACAAATTTTTGATGGTGTAAATTTAGATAAAGTAAATCAACATAAAAAATAGAAAAAATTTGTAAGATCATTTAAGAAATGCTTAGAAATGTTCATTAGGAAATAATCATGGAGACTATAATAGTACAAAACGAATGTTTAAAAGTTTAAAAGCGATAAGGAGTTATACTCAAAATAGCAGCTTTACGAAATAAATTTAAATCTCCAACCAGAGGCGATTCTAGAAATAATATAAGGGGGACCATTTTTTATTAATATTGACAAAATCAATATTAATAAAAAATAAATAATATGAATACTATTGTAATCATTAATTTCATATTTATTGTACATACATGTGCACGTGCACATTATTTTATGCTTTCTCTCCACCTCCCCCACCCTACAAGTACTCTTAAACTAAAATTAGGCACAACCGGTGAGGTAGGAACTCAAAAAGAATGTACTGAATGCATAAAAATGTACTGAATGCATAAAAAGTGTATTTAAAACATCTGATTTTAAAAAACGTTGCTGAATTTTAATTGATAACACTTATTTTAGAGGGCATCAATATAGTACGTACTCAATAAAACCACTGATTTAGGACTCCTCCTATCTTTACGCTTATGTGTGCTTTCAACTCCCCCCCCCTTCCCTCTCTCTCTCTCGTGGATATCATTTAATATGTTACAGTTGAGACTAAAGTTGCTGAAACTTTGTTTAGCTGTTTTTATAAGATAAAGTCATTATTAAATTTATACCAACTACAATGTAAACCTTTTTTTATAATGATTTGATATTATATTATAATCCGGACTGAATTACTTCTGTTAGCAGTTACTTCTTAATTTTTAGAGGTTAATCTTTTTTTTCTAGACAAAGCTTTTTTTTAAATAATTCTTGGTTGCTTACCAGTAACCCTCTTATATTTTGTCTTTTAAATAACCTAAAAGTCTTTGATTATGTGATATTCCAGCACTGCTAGCGATTTAGTAATAGCATTGTTGACTGCAAGACCGCTAGGGGCTTTTGCTGCAGTAGTAGGTGCCGTTTCCGTTGATCGTCCGGTATGACAGCGTGATGTAAGACTCGTTGTCAAAGATAACTGATTTTTTCAAATAATTATAATAAAAACAATCAATGTTGGTCTTGGTTCGCTCTTTCTTTCATAACTTTGGCTGCACGATCACTTCCTAGCATTCTTTCGAGTCCAGATTGTTCTCAGCACGTTTGATAGAATCATAAATAGTGTTGGAATTTGTTAGGAATAGAAGCGATCTAACGTGAAATTTTTATTCTGCATGAAAGTGATCTACGGTGAACTTTTTACTTTGCAATTAATTATTGAAATAGAACTTATACTTACATTTTGTTTTACTAACATATTTCTTATGTTAGCAACATAATATTAATGTATATCGGTCATGAGATGTATAAACAATTAATAAAAAAAGTTTTTATGAACGAAGTTACTTAATTTTTGCATTTCAATACTATCGAAAGGATATCTTTGTTAAAAAAAACTTGAAACACTTTATTGCAAACAAAAAATTTAGTAAGAGTACAATAAATTCATCTTGCCTTAATGCGCGACAGTTTATACTACCGCTTATGCCTAGTGCATGGTTTTCAATAAAGTTACCTGTAAATTCTTATAAATTAACAACAATAACAAGTTGCGCTTATAGCTAAAATTTTAACACAACACTAACAAAAGTTGACACAACACTAACAAAAGTTGACACAACAACAACAAAAGTTTACACAACACTAACAAAAGTTAACACACCACTAACAAAAATTAACACAATACTAACAAAAGTTGACACAACACTAACAAAAGTTGACACAACACTAACAAAAGTTTACACAACACTAACAAAAGTTGACACAACACTAACAAAAGTTGACACAATACTAACAAAAGTTGACACAACACTAACAAAAGTTGACACAACACTAACAAAAGTTGACACAACACTAACAAAAGTTGATACAACACTAACAAAAGTTTACACAACACTAACAAAAGTTGACACAACAAAAGTTGATGCAAAAGTTTAAGCAAAGTTGTCACAAAAGTTGAGGCAAAGTTATCACATTTGTGATATATTTGTGATTATTATTAATAATAAAAAAAGTTGCCACAATGCAATTTCAATAAAACACAAGTTTTTCTATATAAAATCATTTGTGCAATAAATAAATAAATCACAAATATTTTTTTAATTACTTGCTAAAAAATATATGTGATTTCAGTTTAAAAATTTAAAAATTATTTAATTACTAGCCTTCGTGGGTTTATGAAAACGAAGTTCCATTTTTCATCACAAAGCTTTCAATGTTATCAAAAAGGCTATCTAAAATTCTACTCTGATAAACGCACAACTTTCATTTAACAATCTTTCAACATTCAAAAGTTATCAGCATATAAATTTAAACATGGTCGTAACGTTCGAACACAAGTAGTATGTACACAAAAAAATAAAATTTAAAACCTGTCGATGGTTTTGAGTTTAACATGATATAATAAAAATTCATACTTTATTTACTCATTGACCTCATTCAGGGTTGGAGCAAAACATTTAGGGTATTTTTGCTCCCAGACCCGAATCACTGCAATTTTTGGCAAAACATTCTTATTAAACAGTTTTGAGTTTGTACAGTGCCTGAAAGTGTCATATCTGAATGTTTTAAAAACCTTATTTTTTATCATAAGATAGAAAAAAAAATCCATTTTACAGCAATGTTTAATGATAGTTTGTTTAATTTAAATCGTTTGAAAATTTTAACTAGATTAATAATCATTTTGTTAAGTCATTATGTTACTTACTTTGCAATAAAGTTGTGTAATGTTTATCGTCTACTTATACAAGTGTATTAAAGCATCACAACTGCATTAAACACATTTTGTATCGATTCAGGAGGAGCGGAATCGTTTTTAGTTTGCCCCGTCAAAAAAAAAAAAAACACTATACACCATGTTGTAAGTGGACGTAACTACGCTCGCTCGGGAAATAAAAAAAATCAGGGCGGAGGAAGGTGGGGTAAATAATTTTCGCAATTGTAATGAGAAATCCGTACCATAGTTTTATTTACCTTAACGCAAACACGATTACAAACTAAGTTAATTTTCCATGAGGTTGCTTGTAGTATTTTCGCTAAAAACAACCTGATGGTGACGTTAAAATTCAAAAACACTTGATACCGATCTTGAGTTAACAAAAGTATACTTTTTGAGAATATTTATGATAATTCTTGATACATTTGTAACTACTTAATTTGCAAATATACTTGCAACATTGCAAATTTGCAATCAGATGCTGCAAAGCATAGTTTACACTAAATAATTTATTTTTCAACGAATTGCTACTTTTAATAGCGAGGAACCAATTAACGTATGCAATATTTTCATATCCTGCGATGTATAATTTAAATTAGCAAGTTTGTAAAATAAGTTTGGTAACCTCTGCAAAGCATAAATTTCACTGTAAACTTTTAAAAAAAGACATTTTCGAAAAATCAACAGTCTTATATTAGGCGGGTAGTAGACCTCATAATACCGATATTTATTTATTTTTTACCCCGTCAAGAACTTGACGCTAAATCTGTTTAAAAAATTTAAAATAAAACAAAGGTCTTTGCCGTTTAACTAAAAAAAAGTCCTAATTGCCGATTTATATTTTATTTATATTTATTGCTTTTGAATTTAAGATTGCACCAAACATGTTTTAGATCACATGGCATTTATTTTATTGATATTCTTTTTACTTTTAATAACATTATTTTTAATATGGATTTATTGGGTAAGAAGCTACAACCTGAATTTTGTACCTTCGCCTTTAAGATTTCCTCTATTTGGTTGTGCTTTGTTTTTGAAGAGTGAAAGCCATGAACTTTTTAAACAAGTCCGTTGGTTTTTTTCAGAATTTGGATCTGCATTCTGTTTATGGATTGGCCCTAAACCAGTTTTAATGACAGGAAATATTGATCATATACAAACAGTATTAAAAAGTCAAAAAATAATTACTAAAAGTTCGTCCTACACTTTTCTTAATGAATGGCTAGGAACAGGGCTATTAACAAGTACCGGAGCCAAATGGAAATCCAGAAGAAAAGTTCTTACAAAAGCATTTCATTTTTCAATTATTAATAGTTATGTTGATAGTTTTTATCAGAATTCAGTTTCCCTAAGTAATCACCTTGAAAATCATTCTGGAGTGCCTATTAATATACAAGCATTAATGAGTTTATTTACTCTTGATATTATATGTGAAACAGCTATGGGTTTTAAACTAAATTCCATGAAAAATCTGAATTGTGATTATGTAAATGCTGTAGAAGAGGTTAAAATTCTATTAATTGAACGCCAAAAAAGTCCATGGTTGTGGAACAAGTTTGTATATAAACTTTTTTCATCTGGGAAAAAATTCTACACACAACTTCAGGTTTTAAAATCATTCACCAAAAAAATTGTAAATAAGAGAATTAAAAATTATTCTTTATCTTCAAATGGCTGCAAATCTTTTTTAGATCTGTTAATTGATGCTTATAATCAAGGTAAAATTGATTTGGAAGGCATTTATGAAGAAGTTGATACATTTATGTTTGCAGGGCATGACACAACTGCTGCTGCTTTGAGTTATATTTTTTTAATGCTAGGCACTCACCCAAAAGTGCAAAAAAAGTTACACGAAGAAATTGATACAAATGTAAATATAAATTCTTATGAAAATTTATCTGAAAAAATAAGGAAAATGGAGTACCTTGACTGTGTAATCAAAGAATCTTTAAGACTCCATCCTCCTGTATCAGTCTTTGGACGTATTTTAGAAGATGATACTATATTCAGTAATCATTTGGTAGGTAAGGGTGCAGATATTGTTTTGTGTCCAGAAACTTTGCACACTGACCCTTTATACTGGGAAAATCATAGATCTTTTATACCAGAACGATTTTCTAATGTTGAATTTGCATTTCGCCAGCCATATTTGTATATTCCATTTTCTGCTGGTCCCAGGAATTGTATTGGTCAAAAATTTGCATTGATGGAAATTAAAATTGCTATATTTGTAGTTATGTCTAAATTTATTGTAACTGCAGTTGAACAATGTTTATCTCCAATGGCTACATTTATCCAAAGATATGAAAATGGAGTTTTGATGCTGTTTGAGGAACGAAAAAAAGGTTTTTTGTACAATGTTATAATAAATAATCTTCATATTTCTTTTTTTTTTTTTTTATTAGTTTATTTGTATAAATTAAAAACTTTAGTGTAATTGGTTCAAAAAATAACACAGATTGTATATCAGCAGTTTTATCAATACAAATCTTACCTGAAAACCCAAAAACAAATCCTGAAAACAGTGTTAAAAATATCATTTTAGCGTCCTTATTTCCGTGGTTGCATGGTTGGACAATTCTCATAATACTACTTCTCCAATAAAAATGATCTTGATGAACTTTCCTTAACTGAAGCTTGTTTATGTCATCTGTAATGCACTCTTTCTAATTTTTTCTACTTTTACCTCAACTTTTTTTTGCCTGAAAAAGTGATACACAATTATCTGGATCTTTATGTGTTTATATTCAATTAATTATTTGTCTTCAACTAATCTAAAAACTAATATAAAAAGACTTGAAAAAAAAAAAAACTAATATAAAAAGACTTGAAAAAAAAAAAAAAAGCTTGTAAAAAGACTTTGTAATGAATTTTATTTAAAATTAATTTTTAAGTAGAACTTTGTTGAGTGTTTTCTGATTGCATTTTTGACCAAGTTTTTATAATAATGATTTAGTTTAAATTATTAAACATTTAAAAATATAAAGTGAGAAAGTATATTTTTAATAACAAATTATCAGATTTTTTCATATTTTTGTTATTTTTGTAAAAACAGATTTAAATCTCATGATTATTATTTTATGTATGTTTGCATAGCGCTACTTCATTATGTCATCTTTCCTTATTTTTTATTGTTGTTTCTGATAAAATTTACCAAGTTATTTCTTTTCAACCATCTCTCAATATAAACAAAGACTTTGATGACCATTTTATGTTTATACTAATTACTCCAGCAACATTGATCTTGCTAGAACTCAGGCTAAAACTTTGGTCTTATAATTTTTTTAACATAGATTGCTGACTTGCAATTCTGCAGGTTTCAAGGCAATCCAGCCAATTATAATTACTTATCTTAATTGACCAACTCTTGGTTCTATAAACACACTCTTTCTGACATTCCTCAGAAAATGAGTTGCACCATTTTCGATCATTTTAATCATCTGACATTTAAGTCATTACTCTTTGACTCTTCTACAGTTTGTTTACAGACAACATTTCTGTTACAGTCAAAAGGTTTTGCCCAAGTTTATTTTTTGTGCTCTGTTACTATTTAAAATTTACTTATTAAAATTTTTTTTTATTTTTTAATTAATTGCCAAAATTATTGAATTTTTCTCTCTAGTTGCAGTATAAAATTAAGCAAATTATTTTTCCATTTTTATTTACTTGAGGGTACCTGAATATTTTAAACTATATTTGTATATTGTTATATCTATATAATAGTCTGACAATTTTTATATTTTATTTTTATTAAAAGCTTTTTGATTAAAATTATCTAATTAAGATGAAACAGGCTGCAGATCTATAACATTTTAACAAAATATTGTAAATATTTTGTTAAAATGCTGATTTACAATATTTTGTTAAAATCTGGTGTCACTTATTTGTTAAATCTGATGTCACTTATTTGTTGTTGTATAGCAATGATTCACAACCTTTCTGATGCTGCAACCCCATTATAACATTGCATTTTATTTTTGCAGCTAAATGTTATGCTATTTGACTTCTAAATATCTGATTTTATTTATATTTTATAATTTATAAGCACCATATTTTTTTGTTACGAAATTTTTTATAATTGATTTATTATAATATATTAACAAAACAATTATGTATTAAATATTTGCAAATGAATAAAATGTTTACATTTTAAATATTTTATAAAGCCTCAGCTTTAAAGTTTCAATTGTGTGCGACTCCTAATTGTTTTGTGTATTGCGGTATGTACATTGCACAAAACACAAAAAGATGTAAGTATTGATTAAAAATTGTTTTGAGTAAACATTTAATTACTAATTTAAAATGTTAATATGACAATGAATGGACTTTTAGCAAGTGCAAATGTGTGTCAGGTAAATTTAGAAAATGTCTTGAAATTTCTTCTTTGAGAACTTTAAAGTGTTCTCTGACAGAAAGTATTGTTATCCTCTTTGTTTTATGTTTTAAAGAAAGCAGATAGGATAGACAGTATGTAAAAATTTAGTTCGCTAAAGTCAAAGATTCTGTTTAAATACTCAAGTCTTTTCTGGCAAATCCAGATGCATGTTGCATCTAGGCCTTGGAGCCTAGATGCGACATGCATCTAGGTTCCAAGGCCTAATCTAATAAATTCTATTTAATTAAGATCGGAAAGATGTCAACCAAATAAGCAATTTTGTGAAGTTAGGTTTTTTTTGCCAAACCGTGCTTTAAGGTGTGGTTTAGATATTTGATTAAAAAACAATTTTAATTCATCACAAAGATCAAAAACCAGTTTTAAAACTTTCTCTTTCAACAACCACCTCATCAGTGTGAAATAACACAGCATTATTAATTGCATCCAATTCATTGCAAAGTTTTATAAACAATGAATGTTGATAACATTTTTCATTTTTTCATGTGTCTTTATTGCTAATAGGTAAACGATTAACGATTAATTGATTAAAAATCATTAGTCATTAATCAATTAATTAACAAACGATTAATCTATTAATTTTTTTTTAACATAACAACTTTGCGTTTTTTTGTTCCAAAGATTTTTACAAACATTTACAAGCGTTTTTTTAACAAAAAAGACTTGTGTTGCCTTTTATCCGGCATCCAGTCAAATTTAATTATAAACAAACAAAAACAATGCTTTTTCATAGTGCGGCTGCTTGACCACAATTTACAATGTCGTTTGGAAAAAACCGCTCTGAAGTTTGGAAACATTTTTTATTGGAGAATAAAGAAAAATCATCATACAAGTGCAAACATTGTTCAGTCAAACTTAAATTCCATTCAAAAAAAAATTATTAGTATTAGAAAGTATTAGCTCTGTTTCACAGGAAATCCAGTTTAATGAGGACTATGGCATCATCATATCGAAGGTTCGTAAAATAGTCAAACTTTTCAAAAAATCTCCACTTAAAAACGATTTCCTTCAAAATATTTGTAGAACAGATTTAGGAAAAGAACTTAAGCCTATTTTGGATACTAAAACAAGATGGAATCCTCTAATAAATATGTTAAAACGATTTTTAAAGTTAAAAAATGTTTTTGCAAAAAAATGTTTTTGCAAAGGCTCTTGTTGATATATCTAGAACAGATTTAATTTTAAAAGAAGAAGAAATAAAACAAATTTCTGATATTGTTCAGGCTCTACATGTTGTAGAGTTAAGTGTTATGGAACTAGGGAAAAGAGACTGTGATCTGATAAAATCTAATCATATTATTTTGTTTTTACTACAAAATCTTAAAGAACAAAATACTAACTTTGATCAAAATTTGTTTACTGTTGTTTGAGAATTGGAGTTGTTGGAGAAGTTGGAGAGAATTGTTGAAAGAAGAAATTGTAATATTGCTGGTTTACTGCGCTTTTTACATAACCCAGCTGACTATAAATCAGACTCAGAATTTCCAGATAATCTTTTGAAATACCCACATAAAAATAAAATTGCTAAAACTGCTAGAGAAATATACCTACGTTTATTTCTACACGAGGAAGTAGAAGCAGCATATGAGTCTGAGTTAGAGTCTACTTGTAATACAGAACCATTAAGAAAAAAAACTAAAGCTGAAGAATTAGCAGAAATAACATCTAATACAACTTCAGCAGCAGGAAAAACTAAAGGGCTAACTTGTAAGTCTTCCCCTCAAGAAGTTTTGACTTGCATTAAACATGAAATTGCAGTACTCGAAAGCACTGGAAACAGGCAAAGTTCTTTAGAAAAAAATTTATTTAGTCTCATGCTGTCTTCTATAGAAGCAGAAAGAAGTTTTAGTGCAGCTGGTTTATTTGTCACTAATTTAAGAACTAGCTTAAATGATGACACTATTAATAATTTATGTTTTTTAAGATCATATTTGATGAAAAGAGAAATAAAATCATAAAAAATATAAATTACTTTTTGTTAAGTTACAAACACATTTTTCCTAAAATTAATCGAAAATTAATTGATTAATCGATTAATTTTTAGAAATTTAATCATTAATCGATTAATGTAAAATACCAATTAATCTACCACCTCTAACTGCTAACATTTGTTGATAAATAAAACAGTGAGTTCCAATGACTTTCAGTGCTTCATTTATTACCAAACATTGAAATCGAGACCTTTATTCTATAATTGCTGAAGTCTTGTATGTGTAAATGCCAAAAATATTTTCTCAATGGATATCATGATTTTTTTAAAAAAAGACTGCATCAAATACATTGTGTTCAGTACAGTTATGGTTTCAAGTGATTTGTAAAAAGGAAACTCATCTTTGAATTTGCCTTCATTAATATACCTCATGTAAACCAATAACTGAGAGGATGTTGCTACATCTGTTGATTTATCTAATTGGATGCTAAATAGTTCAGGGAAGCAGATTTCCTGGATTACCTGCTTTAGAATATCAGCAGACATGTCATCTATTCTTCTACTGACGGTGTTATTAAACAAGGATGTTGTATTCAATTTATTAACATGTTTAACTCCAAGCATAACTTGAACATATCTTTGGTTGCTGGCAACAGCAGGTTTTTTGGCAATGGTGTGAGCTTTCTTGGCTTTTCCAATTCTGAGAGCCACCTTCAATTTTAAAGCTTCAATGATTTCTTCGCATTAGTGTTGGTACTGGCCACCCAAATCAATCTGCTTTTCTTGACACAGCCATCTTTGTTCATAAATTACGGACATACTCGCCTATTTAGTATCAAAACAGCATTACAGTTTGTTGGGCTTCATGGATTCGACTGACATAATTTGGTTGCATATAAGTTGTTGTGGCTTTTCAATTCCAACTTCAACTATGAATAAAAGATAATATTTTTAAAGTAAAGCCATACTTAAAAAATTTATCACTATATTTTTCCCCATACTTATATACTAAAAATTATAAT